CTGTGCAAGACCTGAGGCCTGAACCATAGTCAGTAAAGTCAGGCCATAAATAAAAAAATAAAAAAAATAAAATTAATGGAGGTATCCTACCTCCTAGAACTGGAAGGGACCTTGAAAGGTCATCGAGTCCAGCCCGCTGCCTTCAGTAGCAGGACCAAGTACTGATTTTGCCCCAGATCCCTAAGTGGCCTCCTTAAGGATTGAACTCACAACCCTGGGTTTAGCAGGCCAATGCTCAAACCACTGAGCTATCCCTCCCCCATGTATTAAAACAAATGCTTACAAGTTCATGGTTCAATACATGAACGTTGCAAGGAGTATTGCTAGTGTTGCTAAAACACAGGCACTCCTAAGAAACAACAGATACTGTGTATGTATGTGTACACGTTCCAAAAGATTAACACAGGTACATCCTGACCTAACACAGATAAAAGGGTTTGATAGATGTGATGAATAGGGATGTTTTGCCTGGAGCAAGGTATAAGGGGAGGTAACAAGCAGATGTCATGAAACATGTAAGGTGGTATGTAAGTTGTTTGACTCCGTCTATAAATGTTGGGATGCCTCTCCTTAACCCTTTGTGTGGCCTAGGGACAGCAGAAACTCCCACTTCTGACTGAGCCACTTCTTGCCACTGGGCACTCATGTGTTAGTGTAACCTGTAACCATGGAGCCAGAACACTAGGACTGTGCCTTCAGGGCAATAAACCCAGCCAAGTTAGAATAATGCCCATGGTCTTTCTTTATGAGCGACATTGAGGTCTGCTGAATTAGCAGGCTGCATTTTCTGCTAGTGCTAATAACACTGGAGCTCCAAGAAAAAGAAGCACTGAGCAGCCATAATAACCTGGCAGCAGTAACAACATTCTTCAGCAACATTCTTAACAACACTTGCAGTTTTTCTTGGCTGGGACCTCTGAAGCAGCATGCCATTCTAATCCTCTGATGTCTCCATGTTATGCTTATTTTCCCCCACAGCTCTCACCCCATATTACTGGAACAACAGGCTCCAAGGGATATTTTTTATCTTTCCCATTTGTAGGGTGTGTTGCTTTGATCATTCAAACTATAAGTTAACTTTAACTGGAATTGATTTCAGAGCTGGAACAAGCCTATTAGAAATGAGTGCTTTAGTACTTCTGCCCCTCCCTGGCCCCCATCTTTCTCTTAAAGTAGGCAAGAATCATATTTGTTGTTTTCAACATTGCTGCATATTGAGAAGTTTTGATTTCTTTCCTCCAGTATGACTCCTCACATTTATCTAAGTTTAAATTTCACTGCCCAATTTTCAATATGCTTAGATCCTTCAGGAGTCCATCTAAATCCTCCTTAGTCTTTTACCAACTGGGATAGGATATACCATAATCTGATTTCACCACTTTTCTGCCCATTTCATTCATTACATCATTACAAAGTATTCTGATCAACACTGATCCCAATATCACCCCCTTAACTATTTTCCTTTCAGAGGAACAACTATTCACTGAGGCTTTGTTCCCTATCACTAAATCAGCTTTTAATCTATGACAGCACATTGCCCACTCATTCTGTAGTTATTTATTTCCCTTAATAGTATCTTGTCAGAGATCTTGTCTCAAGCCTTTAAAAAAGCCAAACAAATCATGTCAACTGGATCTCCTCCATCACTATTTCATTTACCTTTTTCCAAGAATTCTAACAGTTAGTGAGACATGATTTACCCTCACTGAAGCCATGCTGTTTTAATCCTATCAATTGACACTTATCCAAGTATTACATTACTCTGTCTTTAATATACATTCTCAGTCAGTTTCCCCAGAAATGAGGTGAGGTTCATCACTCTGCAGTTCCTTCACTTAAGATGTAGTACTGCATTATAAACTTTCTTATTCCCCTGACATCTGGGGAGTTCCTAGCAGGTGTTATTGCAGACTGTTTTGTACCAACCAATGCTGAAACAGCCAAAGCAGCTACTTCAACTATGTTATTTTCCTGGCACATCCCACTTACCCTGACTGTGGCCCTCTTATACCTCATTTCTTATCCATCTTCCCAGTTAATGTGTTAAAGAAAGGATGGCCCCATACCTCTTGCAAGAACTCATGCTTTGTGCTCACTGGGGATGGAATTTTCAAAAGCACTCATTATTAGATTCACTGTGCTCCCACTGAGGTAAAACTTCAATGGGAGTAGTTAGGCCAATGCTGAGACCCGGATACCTTGATTTCAATGGAAGTTAGGTGCCTAAATACCTTAGCAGATCTGGGACTGAGTTCCTGTCAAAATTCTACCCAGAAAGTGCATGTAAGCACCTCCTAGAGGGCTCAGAAACAATAAACCTGAAACGTAAGCAGAGTGTGAGTGCCAGTAGTATACAGATAATACCAAGCTCTAAATCTCCTTCACATCAAATACAGACAGCACTGTGAGATAAGCTGCAGCATAAAGAGTAACTGGCTGAAACTAAACCTAGGCAAGACAGAAGTGATGTTGATGGGGAGAGGAAAACATTTTGGACACCTGGCCAAAACTACAATGTCACCAGAGGACCTGTGCCCTCTGACTGTCAAGGTGGGGGCACACTTTCAGGGACCTTCTGCATTCTTCATTGTTCCTGGCTAACCAATTGGCATAAATTGCTTAAAGATTATGACCTTCTTGTCATATTAGGATTTAACCCTGGTGGTTCTACCTGTTTGTCAGCCCCAGGCTTATCTTCTGAAATGCATTGTGCATTTTAAAGTGAGTGCCATGGAAAAGTTGCAGATGGTGCAACATTTGGCAGCCTGTCTGAGTAACAAAGAGTGAGGAGAACACTGATGCTCTGCATGCTGTATAGACTCCTTGTCCAGTACTAGTTTCAATTTCCAGTTTCTCAGGGGATTTGGTACAGCGTGATAATCTTTATAACTTGAAGACAATTCCAACTGCTGTACACTAAAATATTTTAATCTTAGAAACTAGTTATGGAAGAAGAGGACCCAAGAAAGATTAATCAAAACCTAATTTATCTGTCTGCCAATCCCCCCTTTTTACCAAAAGCTTCAAATCTTTCCAACTCCCCGTTTTAAGAATGAGAAGTAAACATGGAGGGAAAGCAATGCCCATTTCTCCCTACAACACAGAGCACTGTGGATGTAGAATTCTAAGGAGATTGTCTTTAAAATGGCATCTCATCACCATACATCTAATTTTATTTAATTATAAATATAATCTTTATTACTATCCTGTGCACAATACCACTCCCTTGATTATGTGACATAAATAATGTATAGAAAAGCTACATTTAACTTTAATGCTATTGAGATTTATTTCTGCAAAGCAGTTACATTTGGAAAGCCTGGATAGCAACTATTCCTTTTCACTTGCAGCTTCATATGGATGTCCCAATGTGGCTTTTAAATCTTAATTAAACCTCACTTTTACTATGCACCTGTTTATGATTAGGCCTAAATTATAGTTTAGTGCATGTTGCACTGTAATACGACATTATGCAAAGAAACTGAAAAGCACACCGAAGTCTCAGTGGTTGTGTTTTTTATGACTAACCACATAAAACTCAAGATTTTACTATTTACTATAGAAATTTACTTAGTTCAAAATAGGAACTGAATCCCCAAAGCAGGCATAATAAAAAAAATCAATTTGTTGTCCTCATAAAATTATATATATACTAATACTATAGCATATATTGTCCTCATAAAATTATATATATATATAATATAATATAGCATATGCTAGTAGCATCTTCCATAAATCAAATTGCAAAACAGATTCAATTTTAATCTATAGCTGAAACAGATGAAAAAGAGGGGAAGCTCACCAGTGTTGGTGGCTATTGTCATTGGTCCACATTGTGTTGCATCATTTTGTGGCAATGATGGGATATAGCAAGAAGAAAAGAAAAATTGCATCTGAAAATAGTTCATGTTCCCAAGCAAAATCATAGCCAAAGATTACATTTGAGGGTTCAATTGGCACAGTTTGTGAGGGCACATGCTTAGTATTCCTATCTCCCTTTGTTTTGATGCCAGCATTTAGACTTGGCCAGGATGTAGGATCTATGACGAAAACGAGTTCAGTCACTTTTAGCAATTTTCTTAATTGGAGGAGAATTTTAAGAAGTAAAAAAAAAAAAATTTTCCTGTACCAATACAATTTTCACAACTTCTTAAGTTAAATAGGGCTACCGACAAAACTGGCTTTCCAGATGCAAGAAAACACTCCTGTTTTATCAAGAAAATACTCTTATTTTAAGGTAGCGAGTAGCCTTGTTTCTTCAGAGGAATTTGGTCTGGATTAGGCAGTTATGAACATTTCACACAGAATGTTTGCTGTAGGAATAGGAACAGAATCCAGATCCAAATCTTATCCACAAAACCACAGTGACCCTCAGACAATTTGCTTCAGCTTTCTGTGTCTTAGTCTCAATGAGTAAAAATTTCAAAATTTCTTAACCTGTGTCCCATTTTCCAAAGTAAAAACCAGATTAATAAAACCTTAAGGAATATTTGGGGATTTAATTTCCTAGATGAAAACATTGTGGAGGGGAGCAGGAGGAGGGGGATTCAATCTGTAGGGTCATTAGGTTAATTCTAGCTATAAAAGGGAATGGTTGAGTTTCTCAGATTAGGCAATATTCTTTAAAAAAAGATACTGTTTATTTGTCAAGAAATATGAAAGCTGATATTCAACCTACACAAAAAGGCTAAATTCCTCCCTGATATAAGAACATTACATATAATGGAGTTGTGCCCAAGATAAATTGGTACCAATGTGCTTAATAGAGGAAAAGGTTGTACATTTACATAGATGAATAAATATGTGTTTGTATTTTTTCTGGAATTAGAGAAATAACATGTATACCTCAAATTCTCCTTTACCTCCAAATTGGTGGGAAAAGGCCTGTCTTTGAAGAGAACCTATAGACAATCGGGATAATATTTCTTAAAAACAATTATGAGTCTTGCATTCATATGATATGGAAGCTTTTCTGTTACATGTTTAGTAAATGTATTTACCTATCTCAGAAGCAGCAACTGTAATGTTGTACCAAGGCGTTTCCTCTCTGTCAAAGATCTTGGCAGTCTTAATGGTTCCAGTGTTAGCATCAATGATGAAATACCTATCATCTTCTGTATTATGGTCAATGAAATATCTATGAAGGAATAAAAAAGCATAAATGCACAGATCTACTCTTTGTGGCATATATTATTGCACAGCTGAAGAAGGCTACAAAGGAACACAATATGGGCTAATTTGTAAGTCTTTAAAAATGGTACAGATTTTTTAAAAGGTAAGGAGACGTTCTATATTATCAAAGGATCCAAAATAAAATTACATTTATTTCTTATTTCATCATGCAATTTGATTTTTTTTCGAAAACAAAATTTCCACAGGAATTTATAAGACACATTTTGCCAGGAGTTGATTTTTACATAGCAGGGGGAAAAAAGATGTAATTCTATTATTAATTATTTGCTGTGACTGCAATCTCTCTTGCTTGCTTATTTCCTGTACTGATAGTATAGCATGTCTCACTGATATGAGTTTTGAAACATGATGACGTAAGATATTTTAGAACATTAAGGGTTGCGGGGATCAGAAATAGCTGATTCATGAAACTACAAGTGACACTGGACTAGAAGCAGAACTAACCAAGCTTAACTGCTTTGGTTTGTTGGTATGTTGCCTAGCAGTGAAAGTGAGAGCCTTGAAGTAGGGCAAGCAAAACAACAATAACAAAAACAGAGTGAGGGAACACAAAGAAAGAGATTGGCAAGCAATATTTGTCGATGTATAATTCATTCACAATTACTTTTAATAAATTTGTCATTTACAGACTTTAGTCAAGCTTTCTTTCTAACTCCAGGCTTGTTCATAATCTCTGATGAAAAATAAAGGAAGAAGATACTGAATATCTCTTATGTACTGTAAGTGGTTGTTCAGATAGTTTGACAGTTGTGCTGTTCTGTGATAGTTTTAATATACAGAAGTTTATGTAGGTCAAAACAATGGTTTTGACATACCACATTGAAAATGAAAAAATATTTTCATTACTATGATTTATATATCACTACAAACATGTATTGTACATTGCAGGATAATAAAATACATAGTCCCTATTCTGAGGAGTTTCTAATCTAAGAGTCTGGCTCTTGCAGACACTGACTACTGGACACAGTGTTTATGACCGAGCGCAAACCCATTATTGACTATTCACAGTAGTATGTACTACACTTAGTTTTGTTTGAACATGAGCACTGTACCCTAGGATTAGATATAGTACAATGAGTACAGCTAGAGATGGGAGTAAGTGAAACAAGGATTACAATGATAGGAACACATGGATGCTTATGGATATTATGTCCAACTAATATAAAATCACTAGAAAAACTTATAAGGGTAACCAATATTACCATAGCTCAAAGAAAGCAATTTCATGCTAATAAAACAGTCAAATATTTGTCCCCAAATTTGTAGCTTTTGTAGTATACATAGATTGAATTTTGATTCTTTTGTGAACTATATCTATATTATACTTGATTTTCACAGCTGCATAACAAATGGTGGCTTTAGTTTTTAAAAGAGGAACAGCTCTGTCCACATCAATTGCATACATATATTCTATGAGAAATTAAAGCACTGTGTTGAATGAATAATTTCATTTTTCTTTTTGTCACTTATGAAAACAATTTATTTCACTCATTGTTTCAATTCATTCTCTATGATACTAGAGAGAAAAAAAAGTTTTGAATCTACCCACAGTTGTGTTTACTTTTTCTCTAGTTTTATTTACATACATTTAGGGATGTATCTGAAAAACATCTACTGGATGGCTAAATATTTTCATGGCAAAGGTAAGAGAAATTTTCTTTGGCATAAATAAATGGAATACTGGACTGTTCTTTCACCTTGCCTTATATCTTATACTGATAGAGTGCTTCCCTGTCTTCTAAGAGTCCAGAGTCCTCCTTAAAACCCACTTCTTGCATAAAGATTTCCAATACTGATATTTTCATTGGGGTTTCCAACCTTCATGTGTTCCAATTGTTTCTTGTATATCCTATCTAGAAGCATCTTACAAGTAGTTACTGTAGCATGGAGTCCCCCTGATTTCAACTGGACTGTGTGCAGAAGAAATGATGCATGCAGCACTAACTGTTTGCTGTATCAGACCTTTTGATGGTAAACTCTTCACATGTATTTTATAAGACTCTTGTCTCCTATGTATGGTAAACCATTGTAGGTATGACCTGAAGAGCATCCCAATTCCAGAGGGCCAGTATCAGGTAGTGCGTTTCAACTAGTCTGACTAGTTCAGTGTATCCCACTTCACTTATGTTATAATCTATGTCTAATAGGTATTACGTAAGGTATCATTAGAAAACCAATAACACAATAATAATTAATATTTGTGCATGGTGTATGTACAATAAATTCCCCAAGGACTGAACAAACATGAACGATATATGGGACTAAAATGTGTTTGAACCAGACAAGTCTGGGGAATGGGTAAACATGTTTTTTTCCAAACAAAGGAAAAAGGTCGATGCCTCTCTCCAGGTGTAATCAGACAGTTGGCAATCACAGTCAAGTGGCCATTCATTGGCATATCAGAGGCAGCAGGGACAGATCAACGTGCACTGTAGAAAGAACCAACAAGGAAGAAAGCAGCCTGTCACCTTCTCCATCAGACACCATGGCACCTTTCCTTCACAGCAGGGACACAGAACTTTGAGAAGAATACATTTCAAAAGTTCACTGGACTATAAAAGACAGGGGCAAAGAACCCCAAGTTATCTTTCACCTAACACAACGAAAGAACCAAACCCTTTGTATTTGGTGGGAGATCCAAAGGGCCCCAAAAGTACTGAGTACAATCCTGTTTAGGTTAAGCTACTGATTTTTATCAGTCCCTTGAATGGACATTTTGATGTACTGATAAAGTACGATGAATGCATTCTATTGGTGCTCTAGAAATAAGCTTCCTGTCTCTTAAATGACCAGCCTCACTGGATTCAGGTTGACGACCAAATAGCTTCACTCATATAGCCTATTTTAGAGCTAGATGGCTATACTTCACCTAGGTTTTTCAATTTCTTGGTCCAATCAACAACAACAAAACCCAAAACAAACAACTAAACAAAAACCACCTTGCTGCTTATGATATTAATTAATTACATTGTTATTACTATTAATAGTAGTGATGAATGTTGGTGCTTCTGTAGAATAGAAAATGGGGATATAGCATTAGTTCTAAAGGTTCAAATTGTTTCTCCAAAACTGAATTTTCTTCATAGATGAAACTGAGATGGAACCTGCACCACCCTTCTGTCAGGAGAGGGTCTGTGCCCCAGAGGGGGATTCACTGAAGAGAAGGTCAAATGAAATGCACATCACTGTTTTCCCTGGGTCTTCTGACCCAGTTCCTGGTCAAAGCTATCAATTTTGGTGTGGGGGTGGAGGCCGCACTGGCCAGCTCTGTCTCTTAGTTGAGCAGTGGTTGCAAGTGCCCTCAGTTATCTTAAAAAAAACAAAGTATATTTGCCATGAGGCAGAAACAAACACAAGTTATAAAGAAATTACCATAGACAGATGTGAAAAGCAAAGTGAGTTAGGCTCTGAGCTTAGATACAGAAACAATTGGGCAAGGGAGATTTTCAAAAATACCTAAGGATTTTAGAAACATAATAACTATTGATAGACTTTCACTGAGATTTTTGCTTCTAAATCCCTTAGAAGCTTTTGCAAAATCTCCCTAAATTAACTGAAGACTTCATATAATACCAAAATCTGTCTCTTTGTCAAGCCAAACAAGCTGTCAGTTGGAGTTACTGCCTGCCTCTCTCCAGTCATTTTGGTTTATTGGAAAACCTAGCTTTTCATCCTATCCTAACCTCTTTTATTGGCTTACACATTACATTATAGATAGTACAAACCCAGTTTGGTGTCTGTCTTGTACCTCTCAACTGCTATGGACAATAAGAAATATTCTTGTTCAATTGCCCTTTATAGTCTGGCATACAGAGCTATCCGACCTAATAATCCTCCATAAATCATTTCTGAGACAGACCTGAGTTCAAAACTCCCAATACATCTTTGACTTTACACATCAAAGCATGCTTAGCCAGGCAACCCTTAGATAAACTGTTCATCCCCAAAACAAAAATACCAGTCAAGGAAATAGGTATCTTGGCATACCTATTAATCACACTATCCACAGACATAGTATTATATAACTAAATAGCACTAGAGTGATACCTATTGGGAAACTTTATTTGGCTTCAAATCGTAGCAGAGCCTCTTTCGTCACAAAAGACTCTCAGATTTAAAGCGAGGGTCAGAGGGAAGAGCTCTCAAACAGTAGCTCAGAAAAAAAGGAAGTTATTCCTTTAACTTTACCATCTGTGATCAAAAGTTTGCACAAAGATTTTGATCAATACAAATCTTAAGGATGCTGCAGCCTATTGTTTATATAAGAAACAGCCACATAATACTGAGTGATGTGATGAGTACAGCTAGCTTTGACTGGTGTCTTGAGCCTAACCTCAGTGGATGTGTTTTGATTTAAAAAAGCATCTCAGAGGACTGTTAGATTGTCATCGCCACCCAAAAAATAGAGAAGTGGGATCCCAAAAGGCCAAGGGTCTACTTATTAAGAAAATCTCCCACTGTTGTTAACTCTGTTTTCTCTCATGGCATAAGTACTCCACCACTCTAGTGCGGAGAGAAAGGGTTTGTGTTTATGTGGTGGTGGGGAGAGCATAAGGAATTTTTCCTTCCTTGTTGCAGTTTCAATCTGCACATTCCTTTTGGGGTCATGGGTGAGGGGGGCATGGCCTCATTATGCACTAGAACTTAGCAGATCTGGCTAGCCTTGCCTTGGGGCAAGCGATGGAGTATACAGAACTTCACAAAGGGTTGTAATAGATGTGCTGCCTGTACACTCCTGGGAAAGCTCCACGTGGTCAGTTATTACAAGCTGTGCCTAACGATGCAATCCAACCCAGAAAGATTTAAACCTGTACCCTTCTCCATCAGACCCTAGCAAAAGAAGGCAGCCTAAGGTTGACATCTGATTTAAAAAAAAAAAAAAGAGAGAGAGTCCCCACTCATCCTTACTGCTGGTCAGAGGGGCTGAATCTGTATATGAACTCTAAATTGATGCAAGGGGTTTCCCCATCTTAAATATAGATAAAAGTAACTGTTTGGCCCTAACGGAAGAAAACTGGTAATATTTAGACTTTCAGGCCTTAAGAAGAGTTATTGAATGCGAAGATCCAAGAGAGAGGGGTTAGATCTTATATCCACAGTCCTCCATGTCCACCCTGGTTTGAGTCTAAACACATTTCATCAGTTCATGACAGCCATTTCACCTGGGTGGCCTTTAAGATTTAAAAGCCATTGCTTACTTTATTGGTAAAATGAGATTTGAGCAGAGTCTTTCCTGTCATCCTCATGGATTCAAATGACAAGATACTTCTAATGTTCTTCCAGAAAGAAGTTGTGTGCCAGTTGAAGGCAATGGTGCTTAACATCTGCATGGTCCCAAAGAAAATATACAAGATTATGAATTTGTCTCATCAGGCAAGACTAAAACTCAGGAGACTGTAATCCTATCCAGCTCTAAATTGGCACTGATGAGAAAGACTGAGGATTGTGCATGTCACTGTCCTTCTTAAGTATATGAAAAGGTCTGAGGATAGATAAGCTGGTTTAGTTACCTAAGAGGCTTTACAAGTTGATTAGATCCAATACATTCAAATCTTGGATTAAATTTCAAGTGACCTGGACATTTCTGAGTATGTGTGGGCACTGTCAGAGAGCTGGCTGCTCCAGCTGCAGCTAGCCACAGCTTGCTGGTCAGAAGACAGAACCTTCATTAAACATTATTAGAGCTCCTCAAATGTGGACAAATACAACTTGGCAGATGCAGCCTTCAGATGTACCTCCCAAATGTGAAAAACCATGTGGCATTAGCCCACCATGTATGAAAACAGATTACCTTTCATTCTGAGAAAAGGGAATGCTGTTTGTATGAGGAGGGGAAAATATTTCCTCTACTTTTATTCACTGTTATTTTATTACACTTTTATTCTCATAGACTCATAGACTTTAAGGTCAGAAGGGACCAATATGGTCATCTAGTCTGACCCCCTGCATGATGCAGGCCACAAAAGCTGACCCCCCCACTTTCCCTTAGCTCTGCTGTTGAAGTCTCCAGATCGTGATCTAAAGACTTCAAGACGCAGAGAATCTTCCAGCTTGCGACCCCTGCCCTATGCTGCGGAGGAAGGCGAAAAACCTCCAGGGCCACTGCCAATCTACCCTGGAGGAAAATTCCTTCCCGACCCCAAATATGGCGATCAGCAGAACCCCGAGCATACAGGCAAGATTCTCTAGCCAGACCCTCATTTGACCAGCGATGGCCGTTATTGCCTAATTGATTAGAATCACGTAATCCCATCAAACCATTCCCTCCATAAACTTATCTAGCCTAATCTTGAAGCCAGAGAGGTCTTTCGCCCCCACCGTTTCCCTCGGAAGGCTGTTCCAAAATTTCACCCCTCTGACGGTTAGAAACCTTCGTCTAATTTCAAGCCTAAATTTCCCCACGGCCAGTTTATATCCATTCGTTCTCGTGTCCACATTAGCACTGAGCTGAAATAATTCCTCCCCCTCCCTGGTATTTATCCCTTTGATATATTTAAAGAGAGCAATCATATCCCCCCTCAGCCTTCTTTTGGTTAGGCTAAACAAACCAAGCTCCTCGAGTCTCCTTTCATAGGAAAGGTTTTCCATTCCTTGGATCATCCTAGTTGCCCTTCTCTGTACCCGTTCCAGTTTCAGTTCATCCCTTTTAAACATAGGAGACCAGAACTGCACACAGTACTCCAAGTGAGGTCTCACCAGCGCCTTGTATAACGGAAGCAGCACCTCCCTGTCCCTACTAGAAATACCTCGCCTTATGCATCCCAAGATCGCATTCGCTTTTTATTCACTGACAACTTCTACTCATTTGTTACACACATGGGTCATCTTTCCCTCCCTTGACCATGTGAACTGTATTATCTTGCTTTTCTAGGAAAATATTTGCTTCCACATTTACTTTCTTCACCTTTGCATGGACAGGAAAACCTATAAGGACCTAAGTTAGAAGCCAATGTAAGATGAAGATCCCTCTTATTTTACTGATTCACTGAATTCTTCAGAGAATTATTCCTGCTGCAATGGCACTTTAAATAGGTGTATTGATACTGGGCCTCTCACTATTATATTCAGAATCCCCCTTTTTCAGATAAATAAATATTTTACTCAGGTACCAATATTGAGTTCAGTAAAATACAAGACTCAGTCTTCATCCCAAGGAACTTACATGCTAAACGTGATTTTAATATCATATTTACTCATGCTTTTGGACGTATATATACAAAATAGCAGACTAAGTCACATAAGAATAAGTTTATATATTCATATCTGTTTACTACAGATTGGTGAAGATCAATCCTTCAGATCAAATCATGTCCAGATTTTAGGGACACTCAGATATACGACCTGATTCTTCATGCTATACGCAAGTTTTACTCTAGTGTAATTATGCTGAAGTTAGTGCAATTACACCATCAAGGAGTGAAAATTCAGGCCCTTTGAACCTCAACAGAGAAACAAACTGTCAGTTTTGCTGTCAAAACTATGGATAAGGGAAGAAACCATTCTCGTTGTTGAGAAATTTTGACCACCTTGTACTCGAAATCTGTGATGTGATAGCATCTTTTGGGCTTATAAACGGCTGTTTATGTATGTGTAGCAGAGATAGAGCACACAGCTTGACCTTGCCCAATAATATTTTGGGTATCTACAGGGAAGGAGCAGCAATTGGATGAGAGCTGCTTCTGTTCCAACACTGTCACTAAAGAGATGTACACTGCAGCCCCAGGGAAGACCCACAGCAAATCAGACAAAGCAGAAGATTTGTAGTCTTCAGCCAGGCAAAATAGGGTGCTCTTCATATATTTTGATTTACAGACAAGCTGGCAGACCTTTGGGAAAAGAATATTGAGGGAACAGAAAGGGCAAAGGTATAAGATGACAGGAAAAGAAGGCCCTAGAACTGGGTGAATTTTTCTGGCAAAAAATGCAGATTCACTGACACTGAAATGTTGTGTGAATGCATGTTTGCCAAATTTGTTCATGTCAAAAAACCAGGACACAAAAATGCCCAAAGAGTAAAAAATGTTGAAATGAAAAGTTAAAAAAGACAAAGTTTTGATTTTTTGATTCAAAATAAGTTTTCATTTGAAAATATGCTTCCATTTTATTTCTTTATTTTAAAAAAACACCCAAAATAAAACCTTTTGTTTTGGGTTGACTGAAATTTTTCCTTTGACCCAATACAATTTTTATTTATTTATTTTTCAGTTCACAGAAAATTTTGAAAAAAAATCGTTTTGGTTCAACCCATTATTTTTCTTCTGATTTTTTTGGAATTGCCAGAAAACAAAACAAAAATCAGTTATTTGTATAGCTCTACTGCACACTGAAACTCCTGCAGAGACATGCAGAGTGGGAAAACTTTACAGTCCATTTATCAGGGCTTTGATGCCATCCTACTCACTGTGTCATCATAGTGCCTTACAAATTCTACGAGTAAACACAAGAAAGGATCTCTACCTTTTTATCCATCCTTTGCTTTGCACCAAAGTAGGTTCTACAGGAGCCAACAGAGTGATTCCCATCTATTACCCAGATTCTTAAAAATACAACAGGGTGATCCCCATAGCAGAGATTCATAAAATACAGCCAAAGTGATATATTCAATCTATACAGAACACAGACAGAAAACAGTTCATTCTCTATACTACACCATGATTTAAAATATCAAACTGATCCTTTTCTTCATATACATTATATACTGCATCACTGCTGAGTGTAGTAAGGACCTTCTGTTGACTTCTGTTCTCATCATTCATATACTGTGTTCCATATTAGTCAAGTATTTGTGGTGTTGTTGACCTTATTCTCACACAGTGATTACATACAACTTTCCAGATTACAGTAAGGATCCTACCACTAACCTGACATTTCCATATTAAGCCTGTGCTCCCACAGTTCACAGACTACATTCCATAACATAATAGCTTATACTGTTTCAGCATGTACTGGGCCTACTTTATGGCAGGGCTTTTCACTGCACTCTTTCCATACTGCATTCCAAACTATTATAGGAGCTTTATATTCCACTGATGATGTAATGTGTTTCAATTTTATATTAGGTGCCTGTCACTCCACTGTTTATATGTATTGTGCGCCAAACTGAAATAGGAGATGCTATTCTTTCATTTATATATTGTGGCCTACTTTCTCAATGGAAATCTTCACTCCACTTATATGCTGCATTCCATATTTAATATGGGTTTTTTCCCTCCATCAGCAGAACATGTACCATAAAATAAAAAGGGCCCTAGAGTAATAAGTGATTCTGGATAGTGTGTTTGCCATAGAACCCACTTGAGCAAGCAGCTCCAGCTCCCTGTTCTGCTTCCTGTTGCAGTGTGGGCGTGTGACAGGGTATAGGTCAGGATGTCTACCAGACCACTGAAGCTCATTAGATCTATCTTCCCAAAGACACGTAAGATAATTGAGCCTGTGAAATTTGGCTTTGTCTGTTTGGGGTTTTTTTTTTTTTTGGAAGGGTGGGGCTAGAATAGTTAGCTTTCATTATCTTCCCTATTTGTCAGCAGTGGGTTTTAGGAAGACCAGCTACTAGGCAGGAAAGAAAAAACTATAAGAACAGAATTCTTGCAACATTCATTTCATTTCCAAACCCACACTATAGATCCCTCATATACTCACTCCTAAGATTCTGATACCGAACCAGAACCTACTTTGTGTAAGCACAGGTTTGGCTATAGGTTCCTCAAATCCAAAGGACTTCAAAAATTAAGGAGGGTTCAGAATTTGAGGGGTTGCTTTTGTTCCATCTCTAATAAATATAAAATTTTGCATTTAGGAACATAAATATAATCCAGCTCAAGATAATTAAAGTTCTTAAAGGTCACAAAAAGAATGTTGGTAGTACATTGAATTTCAAGAGGATATACTCTTTGTTACAATACGCATCTCAGTGTTCCTTTTAAAATATCAAAAATTTTCCTGGCTCTCTAAAGTATGATACCATATAATTTGTCAAATCATCCCTATATTTTACTACCAATGCAGCAAAAGTTAAAATAGGTTCCTGCATTTGCTCCATTATTTGAAACCCAAATTAATTTCCCTATATAATGTTAATTTTGTAATTCTGTGAATAAATAATGTATTATTTAATTAGTAGGTTATTTGAAAGCTCCAAACAGAAGGTTAGCAATTTAATCCAGACTAAGTTGACGCAAGTCTGAGTTCATTACAGCTCCCAGATACCCTCAGTGGCTGGAAAGCAGGTTTTTCTACTCTGTAACAGAGTAGGTATCTTAACCACTATCATTTATCATCCATTATGAGGTAATACTATGCGACAGTTAGACAAAGCAGAAAGGCAAAAGCAGCAGGGAGACTCTACTACATGCTCTACTAACTTCCCATAAAATGAGCAGTCTGAAGCTCACAGAAAAGCTTTTCCAATTTTGTAGGTTTCCTTAATCTGGTTGATGCTTTCTACCTTTCCTGGAAATAAAGCAGCTGTTTTGTATAAAAGGCAACTGAACCATGTGGCCCAATTTACTTCGTATCTAAATCTTCCATGTATTATTGTGTTTTAGCTATAGTTACAAGAGTCAGGTTGGAGGGGAGGGAAAGAAAGCAGTTTATTTTCTAGTGCATTCAGGAAGGTACTCAGACTACTTCAGTTTCCTATTGTTAATCAAGCTCTGCACTGACTAATGAAGTTCATTATAGCAAAGTGGAATACAGAGTGGTTTGGTTCAACATGAAAATGCTTCGAATTTTAAAACACTAATACAGTGAAACCTGCCTTAATCAGCCCTGGAAGGATCCAACAAAAGTCAATCACTTAGAACAGGCAATATTTAACCAAACAATGATAGAAACTGTACCAAAAAGTGGGATATTTTTATATTTGTTGTTATTTCTATTACAGTAGCACATAGAGATCAAATCAAGATTAGGACCCTTTGTATCAGGGACCGTCTGTTCAAACAGCTAGTAAGAGACAATCCTTGCTTTGAACACCTTACAATCTAATTTAAGGCAGGACAAAACAAATGGGTCTAACAGATGATTGCAGGAAATCTTAAAATTGTAGTTTAAGTTGATTCCAGGATTCAACAGTGAGTTGAATCCTGGAAATAATGTAAAATTCACTACATGAAAAATATTTGTTAACTGATATATTTCTAGAAAGCTTTGTATTCTTAGCATTTACACTAACTACAGAATAAACCAAACTACCACCATGCTTTGCACTCTTGCCAAGCTTATTGTGAACTGTATGTAACCCTGTGTATGCAGAACCTTTGAGAAGTGATGCAAAATATAAACAGAGTTGTAGGAAAACTGGGATAATTGGTATAGGAGTCCTGAACTAAATAAAATGCTAGAAATAAGTGGTGCGGGTGCTAGAAATAATTGGGGTAGATGTCTCTGTACCCTGAAAACAGGAGGTGCAAACTAGATAAGGGAAAAAATGAAAGGTTTTTCCAGGGCTGGCCCTAGACCAAATGGTGCCCCAGCTGAGGAGCGTCTTCAGTGCCCCCCCTTATTTGTTAAACTTTTAAATACCTTATTTTTATTGTATTTCTAGCCCATTTCACAACTTTAATGCACAATTTGCATACATGATTTATCCCTGTCATATAAGATGATACATTTGCATGCTAGCATCTGTACAACAAATATAGGACCCCGAGCCTGGCACCCCCTAAGCCCAGCACCCCAGGTGGTTGCCTGGGATGTCTGCCCCTAAATCCAGCACTGGGTTTGTCTTAATTGGGTGGAATTTGGGGAAATTTTCTGTTTGTTGTAAACAAGGGGTATATACAGACGCTCCCCGACTTACGCAAGTGTTCCATTCTGGAACGCCTTGCATAACTCGAATTTTGCGTAAGTCGGAAACGTATCACTGACCATTACGCCAAAAAAAACAAAACAAAAAAAACCCCCTCCTATTTCTAGCTTACGGAACTTTTTCCGTCAACTCGGATTTGTGTACGTCGGGTTTACGTAACTTGGGGAGCGTCTGTACCCTGAAGTGAATTCATATTCTTTGGAGCAGTGAAAATGTGAGCTGCAGACCTTTTTCCCCGAATGGATATAGTGCTTCCTGTATAGTGCTGATCTATCTTTGACTAATAATCACTGACTGAGCTGTCGAAATCAAACCCTCTAATATATTGCACAGCAGTACAGAAGTACTAGAACAGGGGTGGGCAAACTTTTTGGCCCGAGGGCCACACCTGGAAATAGAAATTGTAGGGAGGGACATGAATGCTCACAAAATTGGGTTTGGGGTGTGGGAGGGGATAAGGGCTCTGGTTGGGGGTGCGGGTGCCTGGGAGGGGCCAGAAATGAGGAGTTCAGGGTATGGGAGGGGGCTCTAGGCTTGGGCAGGGTAGTGGAGTATGTGTGTGGGGGTGAGGGCTCCGGCTGGGGGTGCAGGCTCTGGGGTGGGGCTCGGGAAGATGAATTTGGGGTATAGGAGGGTGCTCCAGGCTGGGATCGAGGGGTTTGGAGGGTGGGAGGGGGATCAGGGCTGAGGGTTGGGGCGCAGGGAGAGGCTGCCATTATTATATGTTTATGCATCAGAGTAAGACTTCTCTTAATCCAGTGCCCTGATTTAGGACACAATATCGAGGAGGATTTTTTTTTTCCTTCCTGAAGCACTAAGATCAGTAAGCATAGATCTATGTTTATATGAGGGAAGTTAGCCCATGCCACTGGCACATACAACAGTACCTCTTAGCATATTAAAGTAATGGGAAGTGTTGCATGAGATCTCTGTTTCCAAACTTCTAGCAGCTCAAAATGAGAACATCTCAAGTCTTCAAATTGCAGCCTTGCTCCTCTCTGGACCACTAGGTGCATCGGGGTTTAGAGAATAGCAGACAACTGAGTCTCCTCAGAACTCTTCTGCCTAAGCAGAGCAGTTGCAGGAAGAATGCCTCAAGGAGAATGCACTATGACTAGAAGGATGCACCAGACAAAATCACTTACAGGGACGGCACCATTGCCCAGGGACTATTGCAGCCCTGAGGCAGTGTTAGCAGCCCTGGAGCTGTTCCACTGCTGGTTTGAAGTCTTTCAGAGAAAGGCTCTTTTCAACCTAACCCCCATAGAAGTACTCTGCATAGTCTGTTCACTTGGGCTGCACATAGCAGGTCCAGAAAGAAGAGAGACAATTAAAAACAAAGTTTGAAAAGATGTCAAATAAAATACCCAAATAACATTATAATGACCAAATTTCATCTTTCATTTCCTCTTTTATTCTGTACTTGGCCAAGTCTTTCTTAAAATATCAGATTTCACACCAACACCGTTACTACTAACCTTTGTAGGAATGAAAACAAATCTTGCACAATTTAATTCAAAATGGGTTTTTTTCCCCAGGAATTTTCAATAAAAAACCTTCCTTCACACTGAAATCAGGGATTTTTAATGTTTCTACAGAAAATTAATTTTCATCCAAAAGAAAATTGTAAACTTTGAAAATCTTTCAGTTAAAAAACAAAACAAAACAGACAGGTTAAAGTTGAGTGAAATGAAACATAAAATATTACCATTCACTGTAATTAGTTTAAAATGGTTCCTTTGTTTGTCAACCAAATAAAGCAGTAATGCAAATCAAGGCCCTGATTCTGTGCATGCTGATTAAGCAAACTATACTGTTTAGGCAGCTTTGAACAGCAGAAAACTGAAGGGTAATGATGCAAGAGAACAACAGTAAGCATGTCTTTACAGCTCATCCCCTTCACCTCTAAATGTAAACCCCAGTCTTTGATTTGGCCCTGCCAAAATTAATTAAAAAACAAACAAACCCAGAAACATATAATGATGAGTTTACTTACTTTTATAATTTGTAAGGCACAGAGCTGAGCACAATAAAATATCTAGATAAAGTAAATTGGGTATGCTAAAAAGAAAGAAATAAGGGCATTGATTTTCCCAAGCACAGGAACCACTGATGGTTCATCATTATCAGTTTGAAGAAGGAGGTATATAAAGATTGTGATGATATTGTGGATGGAAAAAA